ATACAAATATAAATAATATATAAAAAAATATAAAAAATAATAGAGATAAATATATTAATTAATACACTTTATATAAATATAAACACACACGACACATTGTACTCATACTGTGTGTGTGTATGTATATATATATATATATATATTTCTATATTATATAATAGAAAATAAATATACTGAATATAAACATAATAGAAAATAATACATACAATAAATATATAGAGAGATGTTGAGTATGTAGAAGGAAAATATATTAACTAATATTAATTAATTACAGAGTAAATGAGCTTTTCTATATGTTTGCTAAGTGGTTTCTTACCAAGAAATATGACCAACAGTAAAAATGACGCTTGACTTAACAAACAGCTCTAATAAAGACATAAAACCATAATAAATAAACGCATCAGCACTTGCATTAAATTTCATTTAATAAATGCCATAAATCCTGCTGCATTTGCCGTATCAATCAAAGCCTGAGCTGAAATGTTAATTACGGTGCGTCCTCCCCAGCAGCAGCCGCTCTCTTTTGTGATAGAACTGCAAGCGTGTATGAAACAACAGAATTAATTTTCCTTCATTCTTCTGCTTCAAAAGCGGCTCTGCGCTGTGTGTGTGTGTGTCAGAGCTCCGCCTCCTCGCCGGAGCCCCGCCCCCTCCTCCCTCCCACACAGCCTGCCTGTGAGCTGATAACAGGATTAATTCAGCTGCCGCTCCTAATCTGGCAAATTAAAAACCTCATTCTCGCATTCAAACAACTCGCCTGACGCTTGTCTAACGCAGACGCCTGTTTTCTGATGTGCAGAGCGAAACGTGTCTGCGCTACAGCTGTGTTGCCTGCTAATGGAGGCCTTACAGCAGATCAGCGGCCGTCAGCGTCCTCTATGGGGGTCTGACGTCTGGATTATAGATATGTGTCATATTAGACACGACAGAAGGCCTTGAGCTGCTCTGAAAACCAAAACCAGCCTGAATGACCTGAATCATCATGTTTCTGTGAGAGCTTGTTTCCACCACAGAATGAAACAATAAAAAGGTCATTGTAACTTTCTATCTCACAATTAGGGATGGGTATCGTTTACATTTTATCGATACTGATACCGATACTGCTTATCGATACCGGTACTTATCGATACTATTTGGTGCAAAAAGATATGTGAAAAGTTATTGAAAATTTCAAGTTATTATTACTTTAGCAACTGTTTTAAAGTTCTTCAGTCAAGAGAATGGAGTTATTTTTCTCTTTGTGTTTTATTTTATTAACATTAAAGGGATAGTTCACCCAAAAATGAAAATTGTGTCATCATTTACTCACTCTCAAGTAGTTTTAAACCTGAATTAGTTTCTTTCTTCTGTTGAACATAAAAGTTATTTTGAAGAACGTGGGAAAAACCAAAGTTTTTTTCCTACTATCAAAGTCAGTGTGGACCAAAAACTGTTTGGTTTCCCACATTCTTCAAAATATCTTCTTTTGTGTTCAGCACAAGAAAGAAATTAATACAGGTTTGTATTAACATTAACATTACAGTGAGTAAATAATGACAACATTTTTTAATTTTTGGGTGAACTATTCCTTTAATGACAAGCGGCAGCATGTTTAGTACTGTCGCTTTAAGAGCTGCACGCATCCGTTTCTCTCTCAACTGTTTACTTTCACTTTAGACATAACTAACTGTGTTTATATGTAAACCTTGTGTGTTTTTGACAGTATTAGTGCAATCAGACTAAGATAACTACGATAACTAAGTAATCAGGTGCTGTTTGACCGGCCTTTTAGTGTATGCATACTTCGGGTGTACGCGCTCTGAATAAGCACATGTTAGAACAGCACGCGAATGAAATGTCTAACCAGCAAGGCTTTAAAGCACATGCAAATAATGTACTTTTGTGATTGCGAATAAGTGCAGTGAGTGTAACTCTTCCTCTGAATCAACATTTGGTGTGAATGTGTCTCGCGAGTTGCAGTTGGAGCTGGAGCCGCGAGACATAATACAGCGCATTGCTAGAGGTAGATGTTGTGTTTTGTTAGTAAATGTTTCATTATATTACTAGTGTTGCCTCCTTTGTTCACTATTACACTACTGCACATATTGAATCTGACACTGGTGTCGCTTAGTTTTGTATCGTGAGCCCACACTTCTGAACGTTTCATTCTTGCCGCCACTGATTGCACGCAAACACACACCGTGGATATCACACGCATGTCGAGCAAACATCGGACACATCATTCAGTGAAGGAAAATGACAAGCAGCAGCTTCTAATTCGCCATTAACATTGAAGTATAAGGAGATAAAACAACGCAAGTATCGATTACAGTATCGTTTGTCCTGAAGCTTATCGGTAGTCCGGTATCGGTCCAAAAAAATACCGGTTCTCGGTACCCATCCCTACTCACAATTCAAATTTTTTCAACTCAAAAACAGTCAGAATTGTGAGATATTAACTCTTAAAAAGTCTAAAAAAGTAAGATAGAAACATGCAATTGCACAAAAAAGCCTGAATAGTTAGATTAGTTGCTTCTGTGCGGGAAAAGAACTATAAGACAAAGTCAGAAATTAGAGAAAAAAAGTTTCAATGCATAAAATCGTAATATGTGCGAAAAAAAAGTCAGAACTGTGATATAAATAGTCACAATTACCCTTTTTTAATTAATTTATTTTTTTTAAATTCCGGAAACAAATTGCGAGAAGTAAACCCAGAATATAGAGAAAAAAAATTAGAATTGCGAGAGAAAAAGTCAAAATTGCAAGATCTAAACTCCAGACAATTTGCGAAATTTAAATTTAGATTTCTTAGGAAAAAAATCTTTGGGAAAACTGAGTCCTTAGGAAAACTTAAGAAATAATTGTAGAAATAATTGTGAAAAAAAAAATCATAATTGCGAGATATAAGCTCAGAATTACGAGAAAAAAAATTCATAATTGCACAATATAAACTCAGAATTCAGAGAAAAAATGTGTAAGAAATAAATGCACAATTCCAAGGGAAAAAAATTGTGGAACATAAATTTTGATTTCTTAGGAAAAAAGTCATAATTGCAAAATTTGATAGTAAAGGCATCAAAGAATGACAAAACACAGAAGGTTTACAGTGTTTCTACAGTAAATCTCCAGTATGCACATGCATTCACAAAAATATCTGAAAACAGAAGTTTCTTTGATTTTTGAATCATTATTTGATTGGACGGCCAAAAAATAATTTTACATAAAAATCAAATTAAAATTTAGAATTGAGAAAAGAATTAAATATGCAATTTGCATGGTCACATGCTGACTATGTAGCAAACATCTGCTCAAATGTTGACTACGTACTGTTTTTAATCATTAGTATGCACTAAATACTGTGTAGCATGCAGTAAATTTATGTCATGTGTCTTCACACCTTCAGTATTTATCTTCAGTTTTTCATTATGCTTAATATCATCACAAACACAGATTTTTTTACTCTTTTTCATCAGATTTGTTTGACCAGTTTGTTTGTCTGTTTCTGTTCTTTTCTCTCTGCAGGACTCTTTGAAATGCTGCTCATTTGAAACTTTGTAACAGTTTGAAAACTCTGCATCGACCAATCAGAATCAAGAGTTCCTCACTGCTGACAGTAACCAATTCCAGAGTATTTGGGTTTGGTAAATCAGGAAAGCGTGTCAGTGTGCTGGTCTCCAGAGAAAGTGAAGCATGACACATGAATCTGTGTGAATTAGCATCTGAGCATCAGCATCAACACAATGAGCTCAAATTGAGCAGTGTTTGGTATTCAGCTCCAGACACACGTCTGTGAGACGGCATGTGAAACACTGAGACAGAGAGAGTAAAACACTGGTGAAGGAGGGCAAGAGACGCTGACAGTGAAGGAAGGACACTGAAACTGTGTTCAGAATGGAATACTAACAATCTGTCTACTGCATACTGCACAGTACACACTGTACACTGACTACTGATTTAAACAGAATAACATGTAAAAATTCATTTAAAAACACATCACGTACACAATGCTTATTTAAAGTGCTTTAAACAGATATAATAATGAAACGGCATACTGTGCAGCACACACTGTACATTGCATTTTAAAAAGGCCTGTATGTGAAAGTGTGCAACATGCAAGAGAAACTTCAAATTAATACCACATTTCACACACAATGGATATTTAATGGGCTTTAAACAGTCATAATAAGAAATAAACGTAAAATAAATAAATAAATGCCAATTTTTTGTATGGAGTGAAAATAATACGAAATTGATTATTTAATGCTTTAAGCATGCATAATAATGAATAGAAGAAATAAAGGCAAAAGTCTTAAATTAAAATAAAGTGCATAACATGAAGGAATAACTAACTAAACAAATAAATAAATAAATTTGATATTAAAATGGAGTGAAAATAATATGAAATTGATATTTAATGGTGAAAACAGGCATAACAGTAGATAGGAGAAATAAAGACAAAAGTATTATTGTAAAATAGAGAACATAAAATGAACATAAATAAATAAATAAATAAATAAATAAGTAAACGTTTGGTAAGTACATAATATAAAATAATTAAAATGAAAAATAAAGATGTAAGTCTTAAAGCAAAATAATTTAAGAACAAAATGAATGAATAATAAATAAATAACTAAATAAATAAAGCATAATTTTTCAAATGTATTGAAACAAATGAAAAAATTAAATTATGTACTGTATATAAATAGAAGGCAGACAGATGTCAAATAATTTTGAATTTTTGTTCAAATATTGTGGTATCATATTTTTTGGGTTTTTTAATAAATAACGAATCACAAAGGATATTGGTTGATATTACTTCCAGTTTATTAATCATACTGGAAATGGAAGGTCAAGTGTACTGCATTGCATCATGGGATACATGTATGGCATTCCATGCATGCATACTGCAAAAACAGCATCATACATGATATGAAAATATGGTAATATGTCATTATGCCGTATGGTCAGTGTGGCAGTATGTGATTGTGAACACAGCAGAGGTGTGATGTGTGTTCACTGACTGTCAGGCAGCTCCCAGAGTCTCGGGGGCAGATGGCTGAAGTACTCGTGATGAAGCGCCGCCTGGGCCGAGAGACGGTTCTTTGGGAAGCACTGGAGAAATCTGGAAGCCAGTTCTTCAGCATGATCTACATAACCCAGCCTGCCAACACACACAGATATAAACACACATGAGTACAGTGCCAAGAGCATCACACACACACAGCTTAGGCTCTCTGTCAGCTTCACTCCCGCTGACGTGTGGCTGGAAAAATGTTTGTTGACTTTTTTGGAGTGGAAAATGCAAAGCAAGTTTTCACCCACAAACGTCCTCTAAACCGCAAAGACAAAGAGGGACACTGAGTCTGTGTGTATTCAGGTTTAAGTCCCCACCAGAATAGAAAAACAGGTACACACACACACACACAATCAGACAACCTAAAAATACAGACAGTGAGACATACTTCACTTCATCTAAAACTATTAAAGAACTTTTCCATAATTCTATTAATATTATAAATATTAAGACCATATATCCACTTTTAAAAATTCATGTCACACAGAATTACTATTTATGTGAACAGCAAAACAACAAAATGTTAATGCTCAGATATTGCTTTTTTTATAGCTCATATATACTTAATTTGACTATCAACCTATCTCTCCTAAAATTGTATAAAGAAATTAAATAAAAGATAAATGCTCAAACGGGTCAATAGTTTTACAGTGAAGAAAAATGAATGTGATGAGAAATATTGGAGTTCATTTTGAGATCTCTGACTTTCGGTTGCATTGCATTGATTTTGATTTGACTTGCACAGTTTGAGACATTGTCAAGATCTCTTCTTTCCAGGACAAACAACTGAGAAGTAGATGATTTAAGCAAAAGTCTGGGCTGCCATTGCTGTCTAGGAGAAATGACTGAGATATAGAGAAGATCTCAGTTGATTTTTAAAAACAAACAGTGAAAATCCTACAAGAAATAGTACATTACAGCATCCAAAACACATGTTGCCATTCACAAAAAACTGTTATAAAAAAACTGTACAAAATAAAAAAGTTGGGGTCACTTACTTATTCCAGGCTTGTCTGAGTTTCTTGGGACTGTAGACAGTGAATCGATCTGCAGGTGAAACATACGACAGATGAAGAACTCAAACTCATGATGCTGCAGTGAGATTCAGCACAAAACATGTGTGAAATTCATTATATACCGAATGCTAGATTTACAGTGGTGGACAAAATTATTAGAACATTAGTATTTGCACCAGCTAAAAATGGTTTTAAGTCAGTTATTTCTATCTTTTGCTACAAAGATTTCTATCTTTTGCTAAAAAAAATTATATCTTTGAGTATTGAGTCTGTCTCAGTTTGTTCTGTTTCTTCATGTCATTCCAGACAGACTGATGATGATCAGATCAGATCTCTGTGTGGAGCAAACAAAAATCTCACTGCATTATTACAATTAATGGCTAAATGAATGTTTGGAAATGTAAACTGATATTTCCTACTGACATACTACAGTAAAATATAGAAATAATTGACTTAAAACCATTTTATAGCTGCTGAAAATACTAGTGTTCTAATCATTTTGGCCACCGCTGACTGTATAAACAGTATGTGAAACAGTACAGATCATGGGAGTTGCATCAGTGCATCACAAAGTTTGTGGTCGGTAAGATTTAAAAAAAAATTTTTTTTGAAAGAAGTATCTTCTGTTCATCAAGGCTGCGTGCGTTTATGTGATCAAAAATACTGTAAAATTGTGAAATATTTTTTTCTATTTAAAATGCTGTTTTCTATGTGAATATCTGTTAAACTGTCATTTATTTCTGCGATCAAAGCTGTATTTTCAGCATCATTTCTCCAGTCTTCAGTGTCACATGATCCATCAGAAATCATTCTAATACGCTACTAAAGTATTTTTTATATATTATTTCATTTCAGTTAAAGTTTATTTTATTTCAAGTAACAAAAAATTTTCTTTTATGGCTTTAGTTTTACTTAACTATAATAACTCAGCATCTGGTTATTTTAATAGATGAAATGCACAAACTGCACACAGTAAACACTGCAGAAACAGTATAAGTAGTATGTTATTCTGAACTCAGTCTCTTTGTTCTCTATGTCGATTCATTAGTTTGGCCTCCTGTGGACTGGATCAATACACACCGTCCGCTCGGGCATTCAGGTATGAAATGTGTCAGTTCACAGACACAGACACAAACACAGATCACATTTCCAATCAATGCACCTTTATTTAAAACCCAACGGCTCCATGACCTGCAATTGAACATCTCACAACTGATCTCTTAACACTTCATCAGCAGCAAGTGTTCAGCACAATGAAACGGCATTTTTACATGGCAGAAAACACTGATCTGCTCTCATACAGTATTATATGATTTTAAACAGCCATCTCAGCTGCTCATAATGCAAAAGTACAGTGAACGCTGCCCTCTGCTGCTACAGCACTGAACTACACCACTGCTTTTGCTCCATAATTAAAGCAAGACACCACAGGCAAACCCACTGCTCTTTTCATGCAATAAACAATTTTGAGATTTTAGGTTATTTGGATTTTCATAACATGACTAATACAAAGAAAACAGCCAAAATACATGTTTAAGCGTTTATTTCATTACACTTTATCTATTTGTGCCTGTAGATTTCAATTACAATACATATCTTTAAAGGTTGTGAGTTTCTTTCTCCACTACAGCAGCACTTTATATACAGCAAACTTTACAGTTTTATTCCCATCTATATTCAGAAGGCTTTTACAGAAGGCTTTGTTCATACATTATTTGCCTGATTTTATACATTTCATTCTTAAAAATATGGTGAAAATTTAGATTTTCTGGCTGTTGACAGTATTTTCTGAATTATAGACTGATATTTTGCTTCCATAACTTCTTTCAGCATAGTGGAAAGAAAACATCTAAAATACACATTTAAGTGTTATAAAATGTAAGTATTTTATAACTCTGTATCTATTTGAGTCTGGTGATTTTAAGTTTTTTCTCTTACATAAACCAAATGTAGTTTTATTCCTATCTATATTCTGAAGCTTTGTTCATATTTCATTCACACTTATTTATGTAACATCATACTCCTAAAGACATGGGGAAAATGTGTTTTGTTTTGTTTGAGTGATAAAAAGAGAAATCCAAAATCCCCTCTGGAACTAATATCTAATACCAGAACATACTTGGTAATAAAGCTCTTCTGATTCTGATTCTGAAAAACCTTTAACTCTAATATGACATCAACATCAAACTTTATCCGGTGTTAAAATTTATGTGCTAGGAATATATGCAAATTCATGCCTTTTTAATTAGAAATGCCTCATTTGCATAATTAAACATAATTTAAGAAAACGTCTCAGGTTATGCATGTAACCATGGTTCCCTGAGAATAGGGAACGAGACGCTGCGTCCTCTAGAGGGCGCTAGGGGAATGCCATCAGCGTGTCCGGTGTCTGAAGCATGAATGAAAAAACGACAATGAACTTGACATTGGCAGGCGGAAGCCTATGACGTAAGCAAATGAGCGACCGCGGGTATAAAAGAGCACCTGTGGAATATGTCATCCTCTTTTTTTGTCTGAGGAGACACAGGCATGATGCCGAAGCATGGCACAGGGACGCAGCGTCTCGTTCCCAATTCTGAACCATGGTTACATGCGTAACCTGAGACGTTCCCTTTCGAAAGGGACCTCCACGCTGCGTCCTCTAGAGCAGTGGTTCTCAAACTGAGGTACGCGTACCCCTGGGGGTACGTGAGGTGACGGAGGGGGGTACATGAAAAAAATTCAGAGTTTTGCCATTCATTTAATTCTACCCCAACTTAAAGTAACATTAAAACCGAACGTGTATAAAATGCCACTTCTAATGTAAAAACAGGAATGGTCAAATATCCAATCTTACCTCATCTTTTGTGGTCAAAACTGCATCCACACAAGCAGCGTGCATGTGATAGGATGCCCGCTGAATATGCTTCAACAAATCGCGCTGCTATTCAATGTATCTTTAAAGTAGATCTTCACTTAATAGCATAAAGAGCATTTTAAATCTACAAGTATCACTTCGATGTGCCATCATTTATTGCTTTATTTATTATATTAATAATACACTTAATGGAATGTTAAGAATATGACATAAAACATGACATACAATTAATAAGGATAGAAAATATTTGCCTCTATAAAGGTAAAAATGCAACTGCAAATCAATTTAAGGGGGCAAATATTGTCCTTTAATAGAAAAGGTGTGACTGCGGTCTAAGTGGAAGAGAGGGGGTACGCAGAAGATTGTTAAATGCCCCAGGAGGTACGCCGCTGTAAAAAGAGAACCACTGCTCTAGAGGGCGCTAGGTGAACGAAATACCCACGCTGCCATGCTGAGGGATGAGTGCCCAAATAACTGGATTCCCTAAGTCAAGGACTCAAGGAACATCATCCCTGCCCCAGCGAAATCGCTTTGGCCAGAACCCGAGCTACAAACCTCTACAGGCAGGCTCAAAGCTCGCCATAGACTAGCTCACCTACCAAAGTAAGGAACTCTAAGAGTGGAGGTCTCAGCATAACGACTCTCTAAACCGAGAGGAGACCTAGCTACACTCAACGCCAGAGGCAGTTAGTGAGGCTCAACAGAAAGAGCCTACGACTCATATTACTGCCTAAGCGGAGCTCTGGAGAGCGGAGGCTTCAGCAGAATGACCCTCTTAAATGAGAGGAAGCCTAACAACGCTCAACACTGGTAGGGGAGCTCTTAAGAGTGGAGGTCTCAGCATAACAACTCCCTAAAGCGAGAGGAGACCTAGCTACACTCAACGCCAGAGGCAGTTAGTGAGGCTAAAAAAGAAGAAGCCTACAAACTCATATTACTGCCAAGACGGAGCTCTGAAGAGCGGAGGCTTAAGCAGGATGACTCTCTTAAATGAGAGGAAGCCTAACAACACTCAGCCCTAGTAGCGAAAATTCTTAAGAGTGGAGGTCTCAGCATGACGACTCTCTAGAATGAGAGGGGACCTGACTACACTCAGTGCTAGAGACAGTTAGCAAGGCTCACAAAAGAGCCTACATACTAATAGTGCTCTGGAGAGCGGAGGCTTCAGCAGGATGACCCTCTAAAACAAGAGGAAGCCTAACAATGCTCAACCATGGTAGGGGTGCTCTTAAGAGTGGAGGTCTCAGCAAAACAACTCCCTGAAGAGGAGGGAGACCTAGCTACACTCAACGCCAGAGGCAGTT